GTCACCAACAAACTAACAAAGAGGAAAAATCATCTTCTATCCTTTGTTCAGTCATCCACCTGCAACCTGTGTCAACAAGGGCTATTAGCTATTTATAGAAATCTCTACGGGGCTAACTTCCACTCCACTGTGGATCATGATTCTTCGCAGTCAATCTCCTATGCCTTCAAAACGAGTTTAATTTGAATTTCCGAGACCTAAGAACTCTTATTCACTTACTTTTAGCAACAAAAACAGTGGACTCCACTTAAACCAAACACTATTAATCCAAAAAACAGCAGTAAATCAAAAAAATAAAATAAAATTCCTGATTTTTATTTTTTTATTTTTAAACAACCTCTCTAGACCGATTTCATTTTTTATAAAATTGTACCTACTTTATGGATTTTTTAAGCTTCTTTTTCCAACATTTAGAATTTGAATTTCTGGTGACATGACCACTCGGGAATGGTCATCACAGTTTTAATTTTCAACCCAGCTAAAACAAAGAAAATCCCAGTGGTCCCACAGATTTTAGTTTTAGGTAGACTCCACGGTACAAATATAAGACACATCTATACCGTCTCATACGACACCGAATACGACACTGAGTCTCACTGCATGGCAGAGCAGAACCTGGGGCCATATCCTTAGCCTCCACTCCACAAGCGGTCGAGCCATTTTTTGAATTCTTAAGAAAATTAAATAAAAAGAGAGCGCCTAAATTAGAATCCTGACTTGGACACTCGTGACTTTTTCCTTAAAAGTTACCGAGTGCACTGCTCTTTGTCTAGTAGTAAAAGATGAGAACTTTTGCCATTTCAAAGAGGTCCCGGATCAATAAAGCTTGCCCTCCCATTTTATTGGCTCATGACGTGAGACTCTACAAGAATAAGTAGATACAGAAATATATAGAGAGAAAACTGATGATTCCGCATACCTGTCCCAGTGGTTTTATGCATCCTGCATAATTTAGAAAAATGTGATAATTTTTTGCAAAATTTTTTATTATTTTCCTTTATCATTCTGTGTTAAAATTAACAGAATCGCATAATTTCACATTTTTGGTCTCAGCTTGCATAATTTCAGAATTTTTTTGGCATAAAACCACGGGGACAGGTATACACAGGCGCATTAGACAGTATGGCAAAAAAAAAGGATTCGTTCCTTGTTTTGTACTCAACACCCAAATATTGGGCAGAAGTTTTCTGGGGAGCAAAAACACAAACTCTGAATCATTTTTGCGAATTTAATACTATACAGTTCAAGATATTTTTCAAAATTGGGCCAGTGTATATAAATATATAGGCTATAGGGATTTGATCTCAAGAGTGTCCAGATGAGAACTCACCCATTGGTGGATGTCAAGTTTGACTCTCTTGGCAGACAGTTTTTCTCACAAAAGTAAAACTATCGCTACCTTTCAAAATTGAACATTTCAAATCAAGATATGACTGTGCATGTTCAATAAGAATATCACATTTGCACCAAACATAGCCTGGCAGGAGCTTTTTTTCATAAATCATTTCATAAAGCCTGGAAGACTTCTCTACGACCTTTATTATTACAACAACAGCTTTTGGTCCAACTCCAAGAATCAATTCGTTCTTGGATAACACTTCACAAACAGAGGACTCCACCTAAAGTAAACATATACAGAGAATGTAGGTTCATTTAAATATTAAAAGGAAACTTCTTTTGCTTCCAAACAATGGTCAGAGAGCCAGAGCATATCGCCCAGAGGCCAGAACTGAAGAAACAAAACAACAACAACATCCTCCTGGACAAGGCCAAGCTTTCTGTAGGTTCCACTCCATGAAGGTGTCCAGTTTACCATATGGGGGTCAGTATTTGTTTGTCCAGTTTACAGTACAGTGGTCAGTCTGTTTGTCCAGTTTACAGTACAGTGGTCAGTTTGTTTGTCCAGTTTACAGTACAGTGGTCAGTCTGTTTGTCCAGTTTTCCATATGGTGGTCAGTATTTGTTAGTCCAGTTTACCATATGGTGGTCAGTATTTGTTAGTCCAGTTTACCATATGGTGGTCAGTATTTGTTAGTCCAGTTTACCATATGATGGTCAGTATTTGTAAGTCCAGTTTACCGCACGGTGGACAGTAGGCCTATTTGTTTTTAGCAAAGACAAAACTTAAGACCAGAAACATCCAGGAACCGAAGCCACAACTGTCCATGATCAAGAGTCTGATGGCCTGACCACTTGGCAATGGTCATCATTGCTCTAATTTTACAGCAATTTTTATTTTTTGACCAATTCAAGGAAAAACATGGGATCCTACAAAATACAGTAGTCTGGTCCTATTAAAAAGAATGAAAAAAAAAGCATCAGAGAATAATGAAAGGAAAGGAATGTACTGAATAATTAGGTGTTTATATGAATAAGACATCTTTATCCTATAACCATCCAAATAATATACAAAGACAAAACAGTCAAAAGTGACTGCGTAATATAATCCTGGAAACACTTGCACAAGAAGGATATCTTTAAAACGGACAGTATAGGGTAAATCTATGATCTTAAAATTTCGAAGGAATCCTGTAATATATTATCATGTTCATAACTGTTCGTTGTAGAAATTCTCTCATTAAATTGGCAAGCTTGTATTTGTCAGTACGTGAGGAATATATTATATTTAACTTCTTTACATTGTTTTCAACAAACTGTAAAATCATGTAAACCACACCTTATGAAAAGTTGGCCGAACAGAAACAGGTATTTATATACATTAAAGAACAGGCTGCCTAATTTGTCACACCGAATGTTAGAGAGCGGATTGATCGTTTAAAGATACCACCACCTGGTATGCAACTTTGGCACGATGCATAATAAGCGAAAAAATACAACAGTACATATCACATACCAAGGATTCCATGTAACCACCCAAATTGGATCATGCAATGAGCAATGCCTGAAAGAAAAGGTCGTAGGGATAGGTCGAACAAAAGAAGTAACGATGGGAATAAAGAGACAGGTTGACTTTGGCTTTTGCTTCGCCAAGAAATTTTCGAATTATGAAGCTTTCATAAACATATTTTGGAAAAAAGTATAGAAGCAGTGATCGACCAAAGTGCAGGGTACAGAAAATAGACCAGCTTTGAACAATGAAAATCCTAATCACGAATATTTCAAAGACACTCTTTGCATGTCAGGTCATGTCTTAAATAATCACGGCTTGAAAGGGTGAAGAAGGAGGGGAGAGGCAGGGAGACGGAGAGACAAAGAGTGGGGGAGAGAGAGAGAGAGAGAGAGAGAGAGAGAGAGAGAGAGAGAGAGAGAGAGAGAGAGAGAGAGAGAGTGAGAGAGAGAAAGAGAGAGAGAGAGAGAGAGAGTAAGTGAGTGAAAGAGAGAGCTGGGGGGGGGGGGGGGGAAGAGACAGACAAAAAAGAGGGGGTCATTCCACAAGAGCCTAAGTCAACCTCTGTTGTTTTGAGAAAATTACGTCTTTAATTTCATATGGCCTTAATAGTGGCGTTCTTGGTTTCACATTTCAGCGGACTGACAAGTGAGTGGCATTAGGCAAGATCTACACCTGAGCTTGTGCTACATTTACTACTTATTTTCACCCATAATGTGATCCTCTGTCCAATTACAAATAGACTGCTCACACAAGCAAATCAATCAAAGTTTGACTAAATTATAGCTGTTCTGAGGTAACACCCTTTGCTGCCCCAAATTTGGGGCCTAAAACTGTGGAATCCCGATCGTACTAAGAAAAAACGGAACTGCCAAATCAGGACCATGACTTTGGCACTGTTTAATTTACAATAAAAACTAGAAAGAATATAACGAAACAGAATAAAACTATACAGTAAGATGCTCTATTCTGTCTCTATTAGAACAAATAACAATTTTATCACAAAACCCCTAAAAATTGATTTCGGCAGTTGTGGAATGACACTGAAGTAATGTGATTCACAAAATAAATAAATGAACATCACTGACCAATCTCTATATATCACCAGTGTCAGAGGTGTAATGGTGAGGCTCTTTGTCGTTGTGTACAGAGGATTTAAGAGTTCGATACCCACACAGGAAGATATTCATTTTAATATTATGTCTATCTGTCTGCTATGATGTAGTATCCCATTCAGTGCAGGCTGGTGCAGGCAGGTAGGTAGAGGCAAAGCAGCCAGCCTTCTAAACGACCTAAATTGTGTTGATGAGGGCATAAATTATCATATTCAATCATCATTCATGCATAGGGAAGGAAAAAATAGAATCAGCATTTGTGCATCTACAGAAAATACAGAAAGGCTCCAACAACATTAACATTCTGACCATCAAACATAGCTGCCCAACCCCTATCCCCCTACACCCCTAAAATAAATATGAATATAATAACAGTTTCTTAATTTTGATAGAAAACCTAAAAAGAAAACTATTAGAGAAACTTCTGTTTAGCATGCCAACCTTCAATTAAGAGACTCACTCCTTTTGAGGTTTTTCTTTTCATTTCACAAAAATAATCATCAAAGTTCAAAGACAGCCCATTTGACAACTTCAAAGAAGTACCAAAAAAAACAACACATATTGCAGTGGTGACGATCCTCTTTCCCCATCCCCCAAAGAATGGCACAATAATAACTATTATTCATGATTCGCAAAAATGGAACTTTGCATAGATAGCCTGTGATGAGAGGTATTTCAAGAAAATGAGAAAAGCTTAGCTGCATAGCCCAACAAGAAATGGATGAGTCTCATTCTATCAACAGGTACCCTTAAACAAGGCCCTACTTCAAGCCAACAATAAAGACAACTAATAAAATGACTGTTCAGTCTAAGACAGCCCCATACGCCATTTTGAAAAGGGACATAAAGTGACATACCATGGAGTCTTACAACGAGAAGTCAAGAAACTCTGTATAGAAATTTTCTGATAAATGGGACTGCTGAAAACTACTTATGAACATGAAAAAGACAGCAAGTCATTCACTGTGAGAAAAAAAAAGCAATACAATTATAATTGTTTTACATGTCGAAAAAAAAGTGAAAGACTGCTTGAAATGAACTCTTTTTTCAACATATTTTATTTTTATTACACAAAGTCCTAATTGCTGGACATATTATTAAGCCAATGCACTGGCTCAAGAAAGACAAACAATTTTTTAAAACCTTACTGTCTTTATTTCCACCAATCAAAGCTAGCTAAAAGTACGATCACATATTATGGTATAATAACATTTTCTGCATGAGGGAGAGGGAGGCGGGGAGGGGGGGACAATATATGGCAAGGAAAAAAAACACAGTAAAACTCAGTAGTATCTATTGCTCTAGTAGAAAGAGACAAAGCGTGGGAGATAGAAAGAGGGTGAGAGAGAGATAGATGGCCAGAAGGAGGAAAAGGGGCAAGAGTGAGAAAGAGAAAGAGATATTTATAAGGGGTTGAGGCGCTCTTTACGTGAATGTAACAAGTCATTATTGTACACTGCATCTCTACAGAAATCTGTCTGACCCATGTGAGGGGAGGAACAAAATATAATACATTACGTTATTACCTACTTAACAATTTGTGCATACAGGTGAACGACCCCTTGTGACCTGTGTGAGGTGCAGCAAGCAAGCATGCATGCACATACTCACACACACACAAATACACACACGCGCACACACACACACACACACACACACATACACACACACACGCCCGCGCGCGCAGACACAAACACACACACACAACAATTGTGCACAGAAAATAAACTTACAGGACACGGAAATGAAAAGGATTTCCAAACGCAGAGGAGAAGACAAAAAAGTAAAGTTATCGAAATTCAGTTCTACATCAACCCAATCCTTACTAGATCTAGCTGCGGCTCAGACGCTCACCACACAAAGCTGCAGGCTGTCATAATCAAGCTTATTCATGTCGAATTAGTACAGAGGTAGCAACGTCCCATCGGGATGCAAAAGCAATCTGTCTCTGTGGTTTTATGCACCCAGCATAATTTAGCAAAATTTGATAATTTTTCGCATAATTTCTGATTATTTTTCTTTCTTTGTTAAAATTAACAGAATCGCATAATTTCACTTTTTCGGGCTCAGTTTGCATAATTTCAGAATTTTTCTTGCATAAAATGACGGGGACAGAGCAATGACTGGGTTAACTAACTTCGGCTCATCTCCTTCACAAAGTGCAACATAACATTTTTTTTTTTTCATTAATGAACCTTAATTCATCTCTGACTCAAAATATAATGTGACATTCAATTCTACATTTAAAATAACTGATTTATCTCTTACACAAAGTATAATGCAATATTAAATTCTACATTAAATAATTAACCTTGATTTATCTTTTATACGAAGTGTAATGTAACATTGATTACTATAATTAAAATTTACCTTTCTTCATCTCTTACACAAAGTGTAATGTTACATTCAGTTCCATGTTAACAAAACTTGATTCATTTTTTACACAAAGTGTAATGTAACATTCAATACTACCGTTCAAATTTACCTTGATTCATCTCTTACACAAAGTGTAAAGTAATGTTCAATTCTCCATTAACGAACCATGGTTCATATATCCTATCCTGCCCCAAGAAGTGTAACCCCCTCCATCCCTCTCCAAACCCACTGGCACACACTTCAATCATAACCTAGGCTTCACACCAGTGTGTAAGGGGTCTGAAACACAAAAGACTCTACCCTCGGTCTCTTACACATAGTTGTGAGACCTGTGGACAAATCAGACTCAGGAGAAAGGAGAAATAGCAGAGGCAAGACAACACAAACGCACAATATTCAGTCAGTCAATCTGTCGAAAGCCACAGTTCTCAGCAAATTCTCGTTTTGTCGCTGGAATGTTACTGCTCCTCTGTGACTAGATAGATGTAGCTTGTCCTTCTGACGGATCGTGAAAGGAGGAAAGTTGGGTAGAATACGTTGACAGGCATTGAGTATTGACTGTGTCCTTGAGTAGTTACAGGTGTCTCAATCACAGCATGACCTTCACCTCCATCTACAGCCTCTGATTCAGTGGGTCAAGGTCATCCAGACTGAAATCGTCTGCCCCAAAAGAAAGTCCTCTGCTGAATCCCGCCTGTTGATATAAGAAACAAAAACATGAATGTAAATCGGAGAAAACAAGAGCTTGAAAGAACTGCATACCTAAAAATGAGTCACACGTTATATTTTGAGAGTATAATACTACTGCAACTACAGTAACCTTTAATTCTTCAAATTTTTCTATTTCACTGGAGAAATATTCTCCTCTGCAGACGTATTGGTCATCATCAGACATTGACTAACGAGCAATATATATATATATATATATATACTACTACTACTACTACAATATCAAGAATCAGCTCAGACCCTACAAGTATGTGACATTAATGTAATAGCCAAGCTGTGTTCGCTCCAAAGTCAATATCACTTGAAGGTGGAGAGTCACAAAAACACTGTTTTGAGAAAAATCAAGCTCTTTGTTCGGTATCTTCAACCTCCAGGCCTCTCCAGAAGAGACAAAGCTATTTTTACTGTATTTCGTATCAGACATACCTCCTTGACGAATAAATACCTCCTGCAGGGAGAGGACAAATCCTTCTGTGTCGGATGAGATACCGTCTTTACCATTATAGTTAGACACACACTATGTTTGAACTTGTGAAAGACCCGAAGGAAGCATTATAAACATAGAAGTTTTTACATTTTCTAATTTGATCATTGACCAAAACCAAGCCTTGCTGTGAACTGTTATGAATGCAACCAACTGGCGTTTCGCATGCGCATATGATCTTATGCAGTAGTGAGCCCCGCAAAACTCTTACTAAACTTATATCTCTAAACAGCTGAGTACGGCAGAGACTCATTTCGTTGTGGATGACCCTGTTGTTGTTTTTTTTATTTTTTCACTCGATCGATTTCATAGACGTATTCTAATGGTACAGTTCAAAGTTCAAGGCTAGCGCCCCAACCCTTTTCACTTGACCTCTTTACATATGTGTCACAACGCTGTCAAATGTGAAGCGTGCTGACAAAATGAGTTACTTCTCGGATTCAAGCCTTATTTATGGAAACAGTACATCATGCTTATATCTATAGGGGTAGTTTTTACAATTTGTAAGTCAGTATGAAATAATAAAAGGCATGTTATACTTAAAGAATATGGCACGAATAGAAAATCTACAAATTTGACCTTAGTGTCGATTTTTGACCAATGTCTCCATTTGTAGATTGCGAGAAGTAACTCATTTTGTCAGCACCCCTCACAAATCACTCATTAGTTTTTGGGCACATAGAGTTATTAACATCATCTTATAGCTCGTTCATGTGTCTTGCATTTCGCTAAAAAAAAGTACTCATCAATCTTGAATAGAAGTCAAGATATTTGCAATTGAAGAAGGAGGAGATCACCTAGTGAAAGAGGTAAAATTAGCAAGAAAATGGCTGCCTAAGCTTTGTGACTTCCAAAGCTTGAGCGTCCAAAGAAACCGAAAATTTACATTTTTTTGTGCCTTTATTCAACTATTTTCGGCAACATCAACAGGGAAATGCATTTTTATAAGGACTTAAAAAGTGTAGAGCCAAAAAGTAAAAAAATACAAATTAATTCACCAACGCCCAGAAAAATGCTGATTTTTTAAATTTCATTGTTTTGACTGACGAGCGCCTGATTTCACAACGCTGCCCCACATAAATGCTCACCCGTATGTCCCAAAGTTCATTCTCGGAGCCTGACTCCCCAGGGTTGAAAGCCTGCATGCCAAACGGGTCCACTTGGCCAGGGCTGGGTGCTGCTTGTGGGCTGGCCGCAAAAGGGTTATCTGAGGACAGTGGGTACACGTGTCTGATAACCGGAGCAAATATGAGAAAATTCCCCGCAAGAAGTGAAATATATTGACTGCTAAATGTTACTAAGACTCCGTCAAACGCCTGTTTGAAAGTCCGCGCATTGGTTCAGATGGCGCTGCAGTCTTTGTTTTGAAACTCTCTTTTGTTTCTCTAGAAGAAGAATAGGAATAGCACAATTTGTTAGTTTCACTTTAATCTTTTTCACACAGGTAGGGTAACTCTCTTCACAAAAGCAGGCGCATTTTTTAAGAGGGCGCAACCAGATTTTGAGGAGACAGTTTTAATTGGCTCAAAGAGAGGAGTGAATCATCTTGGTATATCCCTGTCACGCCTGTAAAATAATAAGACATCCCTAACACACATCCCTAGATTCCAACATATTGACCAAACCATCCCTTTGTAGAATATCATAGATGTCAAGATCTGAAGGAAGGAAAGTAGTATTTGGGCAATCTCTATGTTTACCGCTCAGGCAAAGGTGTATTGTTCATACCACTTTCAGATCATCAGTCAAGATGCAAAAGGCCATACATACAAATGTATATGGCGAGTGGCTGGAGAGCACCACTGGTAGATCCTTTACTTCTTTAAGTTTTCCTAAATAAGGTCACATAAGTGCTGAAGAATAGATGTGTTACAAGGGAGTAACATACACAAAAAAGAAGAAGGAGAGATGAGGACGATAGATGTTTGATAGCAAAGAAGGAGCAAACCGCACCAGAACACCCGCTGCACTTCTTTGCTTACCATCTATTTTTTCTGTCTGTTTGTCCGTCTTGCTTTATGCAACCTGCATTAAATGACTGCCCTTGTGTTAATACCCTTCTTCTTACTAAAACAACTATTTCACTCAAACAAGCACATTTTGCCATAGCCTGTTCTGCGTTAACCTGTCTTCTCATCTTCTGATCACAAAACTACACTCAGTTTTGAAAGAACATTAGGTAAGTATGACAAAATTATCGAGGCTGAAAAGAAGAACATCCATTATCTCTGAGGTTTGAAGACTACAAAGACCTTCTCCCCCTCCTCCTCCTCCTCCTCCATCTTCTCCTCAATAGTATCACACTTGAAGTCCAGTATCTATCATATACTTATCCATCCTGCTAAATAATCTATGTTGGTGAATATAAAAAACGTTTACATTCTACAAACTCATTAGAGGCAGTAACTCACTAGGGCTCTGAGCAAACATGGCGCTGCTGCCACTGCTGTTGGCTCCACGGGACGAACTGGCACGAGTCTGGCGGGAGCTGGAAGGTGGTGGGCTCACTGAGGAGAGACAACAGAAACATAAATATGTAAGACATTGTGGAGAAATCAGGTGCCCGTCAAAATAACGATATCAAACAAATCTGAATATATATGGTGGTTGAGCAATATTTTTCTTCTTTTTTTTTCATTTTGGCTCAACACCTTTTATGTCCATTGAAAAACTCATTTATGTGTGGAGTCTACTGAAAAATGTTGATTAAAGGCATAAAAAAAATGTAAATTTGCAGTTTCCAAGGACTCTCAAGCTTTGGAAGTCACCAAACTTTGGCAGCCTTTTTCTCAAGAATTTTACCTCAGAAAACAGGTGACCCTATGGCCTTCAATCCAAAATATCTCGAAAACTATCGAAGATACATGGGTAATTTTTTCATTGAAAATAGGATAAATGAACTAGCCTCAAGATGTAATCCTTACCTCCACATGTCTAAAAATTGATTGGCATCTGATCCGACCGCGTTGTGACACATGTGAAGGGCTTTTGACAATATTGGTTCATTATATCTCCAATATTTTAATTTCTGCTTTTTCCCCCCTAGGCTGGCCTGTGGGATCATGAACTACTATGGGTTTAGAATATACTAGCTGGGCCCCGTTCGATGAACGGATTGAGACAGAAGCATGTTGATTGTTCCCAGTAGCAAGAAAATAAATTTGACAAAGGAGTCCAGAAAAAACGATGATGGGCTTCAAAAGAAAGGGTGACAGTTCGATTTTAGCACCAAGTAAAAAAAAAGAAAACATGAGGCTTGATCTATACACTTAAAATAGTTCTCAGTAGGCCTATTGCATGACAATGCGTGATGATGGTATCGAACGGAAGTACGACTTGAAATAAACAAACTTGACGGATTTTCTAAAATTACAGAGACAGAAGCGTCGGCCTACAAAAGCGATCAGCAAAATAAAGAAATTTAGCTTTTTGCCGCAAAACTGTCTCAATACTGAAAAAACGAAGGGCGTCATGATCTGGAGAATGTTTTAAAGAATCTTTTGGCGAAAACTGCATGTCGATCGATGCAGCCATTAAAAAGCCTTTTGAATAGCAAAATTTGGCCACCACAAATAGATAATAGATTGTCATTAATAATTTTGAAATGTTTCCCTTTGGTGTATATTTGCTTTATTTTGTTTAAGTAAAAGTTTTACACCACTTGCAACACAATTAGGTCATATAAGTGCCGAAGATTAGAGATGTTACAAGATGGAGTAACAAAAGCAAAAAAGGAGGTGAGATTTAAGGATTTTCTTATACGACAAACACTGCTGTTTGGCTTTTCTGTTGTTCAAACACCTGGCTAACACATGAGAAGCTATTCCCACAAAAAAATGCAAGGTCCTCGGTTTGCAGCAAAACTCTGACCAGAAGAGACATCTTCTTTCTTCTTATGTGTGAACATATTGCAGTTAAAATAGGTTTGACTAAAACTAATTGCAGTCGAAACTGGCTAAGATGGCCACGCATGCACCCTACGCACAAACACACAGACACAAACACACCCCACCTCCCCACCCCACTCACCACATACAAACACAAACACAGAACACACATCCACCCACATCCACCCACACAAACACTCCCCCCCTATCCCACCCCCCACCCATCCACCCACACACACAGAACACAAACATCCCCCCCCCCCCGCCGCAACCCACCCCACACAGACACACACACGAGTAGACCCACATAGAGGCATGGCAGGCACCGCCCCGGTTGTCTCAGCACCGTGGTATTTGCCATTGGTCTGCTGTGGGGGCGTGGCGGGGGCGGGGCTGCTGGCTGCCACATCACCTAGCATCAAGTTCTCAAGTCGCCGGCCCACCACCGATGTTCTCTGCTGAGAGCAAATAAAGATACAGTGTTTTAGTAAGCATTACACAGCACTTGCAACACAATTCAGTCTTTTTATTTTTTATTTTTAGTAAGAGTTTTACGGGCACTGGCAACACAATTAGGTCGTCTTGAAAGGGTCACAGATTAAAGGCGTTACAAGAGAGTAACAAACACAGAACAGAAGGGGGCGAGATAAGTTTTAGTAGAGGATTTACGGCGCTCGCAACTGCATAAGGTCATATGAGCGCCAGAAGATTAGAGGTGTTACAAGAGAGTAACAAACATAAAAAAGAAGAAGGGGAGATAAGGACGATAGATATTTGATAGGAAAGAAGAAGCAAACCACACCAGAGCACCCGCCGACCACCAACGGGGCAAGATAAAGACAATAGATGTTTGATGGGACAGAAGAAGTAAACCACACCAAAGCACCCACCAACCACAAACGAAAAAAGGAACAGTGTTTTAGTAAGCATTTTACGGCATTTGCAACACAATAAGGTCTTTTAAGAGCCAAAGATTAGAGGTGTAACAAACACAGAACAGAAGGGCGTGAGATAAAGACTATATATGTTTGATTGGATAGAAGAAGCAAACCACACCAGAGCACCCACCAACCACGAACAAATAAAGGAACAGTGTTTTAGTAAGCATTTTACAGCTCTCTCAGAAGAGCCAAAGACTAGAGGAGTTACAAGACAGTATAAAACACAGAACAGAAGGGGGAGAGATAAAGACAATAGATGTTTGATAGGATAGAAGAAGCAAACCACACCAAAGCACCCACCAACCACGAACAAATAAAGGAACAAACAATAAGTTCACAAAGATAAAGACAATAGATGTTTGACATGATAGAAGAAGCAAACTATACCAGAGAACCCGCTAACCACAAACAATAAAGGAACCAAGTTTACAAAGATAATGACAATACAAGTGTGACAGGATAGAAGAAGCAAACCACACCAGAGCACCCGCCAACCACGAACAAATAAGGGGACAAACAATAAGTTCACATTCCATACATTTTCAGCTGTTCTTTCCTTTTTCTCCCATCCAATAAAAGCATACCAACAGTGTTAGACACAAAAAGACAAACTCTAAAATGTTTTTTAAACTTGATTTCTTTCTTGACAGTGTTGTAAAACTAAGTCAAATAGATGTCATCTCAATAAACTGTGTCCATACACACCAACAGAGGAACAGAGCAGGACAGCCCAGTCCAGTATATGATAGCGGGCTCCAAGTTTGATGCGATCGAGAAGAAGGAGAAAGACAACGCAGAGTGTAAACATTCAACAAAATATAGAAATGCTTGAAACTTCAACATGAAATTTTAGTGGAAGAAGTCTTTGATATCAGACAAGGCATTGGAAACCAACTGCAAAGAGAAGGCGCAGAAGACCAACTGGAAGCTACAGAAGCACAATAAGAGACGAGGCAATCACCCAGGGCCTGGATGAGCCGAAATTGGAGGATGTGGCCAGGGAAAGACAAGCGTTGCGTCGACTGCTCTCCGCCTTATGTACCTGACGGTATAGGGTAAGTAAGTAGGTAATCTTTGATAGCAGTTTAATTAAACAGATTTTAGCCTCTTCTGTAAAATAGGCATCCTGGAAGATGGCCCATCTGCGCCCCACACCATCAATATAATCTATTCGTTCAGTTTTTGTTTTTCTTTTCTTTGTATTCATTTGATATATTTGAGAACATTGGGTGCATGAATACCGCACTGATGCAACAGACAAAAGACGAAAACATTCTGCATCTTTCAATTCACTCTTGGTGAAGACTCAGCATGCTAGCAAGGAAAATCCAAGAGTTGTTTTCTCAAATCAAAGCTTATCCATTGGACTCTTTCTTAAGGAATGACCCAACGGCACCCACAGAAAGTGGGAACTGCTCGAGAATGATCAATCTTTTAAAATAATTTGTGAAAATGTTAGTTTTGAAAATGTTCACTTTCCAGCGTGTTTATCTCCACAACTACATATCTGTCAGCTGCGAATACTACCACATCAGTTGAATAGGTCAATCAGTTTGTGGAGTTACAAGCTACAGTACTGGTAATATTACTATCAAATTAACAAAAAGGTTATCATGAGAACAAAGCCACAGGCATATAATCACAACAGAGCTGACACGGTGATAAAAATCTGGGGCGCAGTGTGAGAAACAAGCAAAAAGCTGATGGATGCAGTTGGGAGGCGAAAAAAGCAGTGAAGTAGAGTCAGTAAAGCAATAGTTCCATTAAGCAAATTTAGAATAACGAAAAAATTGAGCACATCCTATAAGAATGATTAAAGATAACTTAAAATGAAGTAAATCCATACTTTACTCTTTCAGGTCAATACTAATACCTATTGAGCAAAGTTACAATTACATACCACTACAAACTAAACAACAGAGAAAGAAAAGGTAGTTTGATGGTTAAGGATATTTAAGTGATCCACATTTGTTAAGTTCATTGTTTATGGATATTAAGTGACTCACATTTGTCAAGGTCAGTGGTTATGGATATTAAGTGACCCACATCTGTCAAGGTCAGTGGTTATGGATATTAAGTGACCCACATTTGTCAAGTTCCGTGTTAAGGGATATTTAGTGACCCACATTTGTCAAAATCGGTGGACATGGATATTGAATGACCCACACTTGTCAAGTTCAGTGGATATAATGAATATTAAGGGACCCACATTTGTCAAGTTCGAAGTTTATGGATATTAAGTGACCCACATCTATCAGTCAAATGGATGAAAGACCACAAAACAGAGCAATGAAGTAAGCCCTGTCAATACCTGGTGCTCAGGCGTGGAATACACAGCATCATCGTCCTCTGTAGAACTTTCTCTAAGGGTCAAGCTCACAGAAGAGAGGTCATTAATCTGAAGACGAGGTCATCACAAAATGTTAGGCTTTATTCCAGCTCCAGTTGTGACATATTTGATTGATTCAAATATGTGAGGCAGCGAGGTGAATTCAGGCGCTCGTCAATATACAGAAATCAATAAGAGAATCAGGCATTTTTCGCCAGTTTGGACATTTTTATTGATTTTTTATTGATTTTTAATTATTTGACTCAACCTCTTTTATGTCCATATAAAAATGCATTTGCATATGAATTTTACTGAAAAATATTGATTAAAGGCACAAACTATGTCATTTTTCAGGTTTCAAAGACTCTTTAGCTATTGGAGTTATTAAACTTTGGGGCCATTTTCTCTCTAATTTCACCACTGAAGCCAGGCGACCTCGCTTCCTTCAATGGTAAATATCTTGAGTTCTATTCAAAATAGATAGTACGATATCTATTTAATTGGAAGCAAGGCTAATAAATCAGCTTTCAGATGATACCAATAACTCCACATGCCCAAAAATGGACGAGCGCCTGATTTAACCATGTCGTGACACATATGAGTATTCCAACTGCCACATGTAAGAATCTGTCGTCATACATCACTTTTTCAAAACGGAGTATGACGGAGTGGCATATGCAAATAAGTAAGAGCATTTGAACAAATACAAGCCATCAACTTCTTTTCTTCTTCTTTTCTCCTTCTTCTTAAAGTGCGTGATCTGAAATAGTCATTCATAATAGTGGCCCACCAGTCATCTCTTTGCTCAGATACTTAAAAAAACAAAACATTATTATTCCAAGTTTTTTTTAATCACAAATCGATCCAAATTCTCTCGGAAAGTTGTTCTTGATATACTTCTTCCTCTTTTGTCGTTTTTTTTTTTCTGTGAGAGTAACATGTCTACTGCTTCTATGTTGACTCAAGCCTACTCTGTCTCTCTCTTTCTCCCTCTCTCCCCCTCTCTCTCTCTCTCTCTGTCTCTCTATCTCTCTCTCTCAACTTCTCTCTCTTTCAACCCCTCTCTCTCTCAACCTCCCTCCCTCCCTCCATCCCACACAAACACATCTTCCCTCTCTCAAACTCATTTATTTTCTCTGTCACTCTCTTCCAAGCAAGCACACACACACACACACACAC